CCAGACTCTCTGCTCACTCTAAGGGAGTTAAAAACTTGATTGACATTGGATGCCAATTTCCCACCGCTATAAACCTGCTGAAACGTCGCAGATCCAGCATTCAATATGCCACCGCGAGAACCTGATAGAAGAAAGATACGCCCTAATGCGCACAGCGAAGATTTTCTCACCTGAAGCTGCATCGCCGAATTTTCTGGATTTCGAGGCCTGCCCAGCCACCAGACTGTTAATAAGACCGAAGAGCTGCATCACACGTTCGTCTTGCTTTAAATCCTCATGGCCCTTCAGGGGAGAAAAACGTATCAAATTGACAAGTAGCTTTCCTCTCCCACCTTGAGCACGAACTTGTAACTTCGTCCATCTGATCCCCTCATATGAATTATACGCGGCTTCTGTTTGCTCGCTATTATCTGATACAAAAACCGTCCAAACTCCGCTCCGCCTGATCATCCTCACATCAATGCTTGGACTGAAGTATGAGATCGTGACGAGGTCTCCGGCTTCCTCACGTTCAGGTGAGTAAGTGCCGGGAACCGCCAACTCCAGATTGCGTGCGTTGAGTAAGAGAGGAGACACGTATTGTAGATCGAGATGGGATAGGGTTTCAACCTAATCAACATTCAAAATTTTCAACTCACCAAGTGACCATTGTTACCTGTTTATGGATCTTTTGAAAGACCTTATAGTAGATCTGCCAAGCCTGGTCGATCAGGTCTAGCCGTTTGTCATCGGAACTGCCCTGCTCCCCTTCAGCACGGAAGTCAACAATCTCTTGCTGGTGCCGAGCCTCTTCCCGCTCATAGGCGTGGATCCACTTCAACGCTTCACGAAGATCTCGACCGAACGCTTGAGTGAAGGATGTCTCTCTGAATAACAACAGCAACATAAGCTAGGTTGGGAAATCTTCGCTGTGCGCGAGTTGAGAATACCTGAGTGTCTGAGGTCCTTGCAGCATCATCTCATGTAATGGTTTGAGAACTTCGATCATACCGTTGACATCATGCTCGGCATAATACAATCTACTCCC